GTGATATGCAGAGGTAAATGGAAGGAGAAGCACATGGAAAGTGCAGAGACAAACTGCATATAGCTCAGCTGCATTTGCTGTGTCTGACCTCAATGCAAGGAACTGCCTGTTGAAAGGCACTTTTTCAAAGCAGGTTATACTTGTAAAAATACTCTTATAGTCTGTCTGCATTCCAGAGTCTTTGACTGACAGTGCAGCATTGACTTTGGCTATTGCTGGTTTCTCGGTCTATTGCCTGCTGTGAGAGAGGTCACATGGCTCTAAAGTAAGAAGTAAGAAATGACTGGCCTCTGCAATCACACCATCTATTTCCATCTGATCTGAGTGTGTTTTATCCCTGTAGAGGAGACATATGAAGGTTTGTGCCGTTAATTGTGGTGAATATGTGAACTGATGTTAAAATTCAAGCACTGGACCAAGAACATTGGCTCTACCAGTAAGAGCAATTGATTCTGCCAGTGTCTTTGCCTCTGAGACTGACATTTACAGCACCATCTGATTTCTTTGAGAAGGTAATGGTTCTCTGAGTGGTGATAGTATAGCATAAACTTCTCATAATTAAATGGGTTACTGACATTGTCATTGCACGTGACAGTTCTAGCACATAGACAATACCTCTCTTTCAATCTAAGTTCCTTAGAAACAGCAACATCATATTTTAATGCCATTTTGCCATCATGAGCAATTGTGATTTTAGCTTGGCATGAAGCTCAAGTGCTATATAGTACCTCCTGCTGATGGAGTTGCTAATCCCTTCTGACCATTACTGTATTCCATACAAGATTAGTCCCCTACTTCACTGACCTCTTTGACCGGCCTGTTAGAAAGGAAACACATTACAGCTTGTCGTCCAGTTGCCTGAATTCCAACTTAGTGGGCCTTTTCTTAGAACTGTTCAATTTATGGTGAGCTGTTATTTGTTATAGAGAACAAAACTTCAATAATCAGTTCTTGTTAAGATGTTGAATTTTGAGTTTTATTAATTGAATTGGTTCCTGCTTCATTTCCTCTCTCCCATAAAATATTTACTCTTGTGGGCAAGGATTCACCTGTTTTGAAGTTCAAAACTAAGCATGCACTGAGAAGAGTCTGATACTGTCCTCCTATAGGTCCTGCTTTTTACCTTTTTGTTTGATGTGCAACCAGTCCCCAGATTTGTCTTTTTTCTTTATATGAACATCCCTAGCACTCTCCAGTGATTCATTCCTGTAATTTACTGTGTGGCTCTTCTGCCTGTTCTTGGATTCAGAGCTGAATCATGAGTAAAACAAACAGTAGTAGAAAGCTACGATCATATGTCTACCCCCAATAGACCTTCCTTTGCCTTGCATGCCTGTTGTATGGATTACTATCCTCTGTGTCATGGATACTTGTGTGCATGCGTAAACTGGACACTCTGACCTAAAGTTTTAATTGCAAGTATCTTATTCTTGAGGTGAGAGTAATTCCTGTGATCTCAAGTTTCTTCAGCAGGAGAAACAAAGAGGCAATGATGCTGAACTAATTAGTATTCATAAAATGTAAAGACTTATTCTAGCCTTTAAGTGGCAGAAGTGACACCAAATTTAAAGGTGTTGTCTACAAGCATTATGTCTGAACTGTGACTTGCTTTGGATATGGAAGGCAGCTTTTCAGAGAGAGGCCTTCAAGATTGCGTCTGGTCCATCTCATTACCTCAAAGTATGATAAGCTCTTCCTAATCAAATTGTTACTGCTTTGTCCAGCATGGGCACTGAAGACACTGAATTTCCACTAAAGCGGTATCCATTTGGAGATTTTAAGAACTCTAAGCCAGGAAAAATTAATTGGAAAAGTAGAGATAGAACAAAATCTCACCCAGACTAAGTATATACTCAGTCTGGCAGCATGTCTTTCCCAAATTGCAGCAAGTTATTACTCAGCCTCATGCCAGCTAAGTTGATGCTGAGCAGCCTGAGTAAGCATGGAGGTAAGCAGGACAGCAGGGCAATGGTGTGTCTGGTAGTGAATTGATGGATAGCTACAAACAAAAGTCAAACAAAGGAAAAGCAGCCTCAGCATTCTGATCCCAGTGGTTTCTTTCTTCCTGAGTAGCTTGCGGATGTGCATATGGAGAATATTGCCATGCTGTGGTTATCTGTCAGCTGTCCCTTTCAGTGTTGGTTATGCTCTGTAACAATAAACAGCTTTGAAATTCAGCACATTAGCCAAAACCAGGTACATTCAGGATGCTCCTCTCTTTCCTCTCTCTGTTTTGTTGGATGCATTCAAAAACAGCAAGTCACATTTCTTCCCCACTAGGTGCCAACATGAAGTAAATGCAAACCAGTGTAGTGTTATCACCTAGACTCCACACCTTGACACAGTCAGTGCTGAAAGGGCTGTTCAGAGCTTTTCCAAGCTGTGGAAGCATGAAAAATTTGTGGAAAACAGCAAATCCACATCAGTTTGATTCTGTTGTGACAAGCTATAAGATTTGCCAGTGAATGTATTGCAGCAACCTCACAGTGGCCCAAATGTGAGCTTCCTGGGGCATTCTGTGCTAGTCATGGCACAGCTATTTGGACAGTTTCCTAGTAACCTAAAGATTATGGAGTGACATTATAAAAAGTGCTGCACATTAACCACTATGAACATGAATTAGGATTTCTAAGGCATAAGGAGTAAAGGGAAGATTTTCCTTGTAGATTTTGCTTCAGGATGTGGCATGCAGGTTTGTGTCTTTCAAGCTAATAATACATGCTTACATAGCCTTAGAAAATCCACCCTCGACCACGCTGTACAACACTGCACTGAAAACACCCACTTCTGAGTTCTGGGCCAAAGACAGGATTCTGATATGGGAAGATAGTTTAAGAGACTAGTAAGGATAGTGGGAAGGTTCTAGAGGATTCCAAAGCCTGTGATACACTCAAATCCAGCTCATGGGTTTGTGTTGTCCTGTAGAGAGTGCCCCAATTCAGCACCTGCTTGCCCACACAGTTTAACGGTTAGCCCAAGCCCACTTGACTTCTGAATCTCCCTGCATTTTAAGGAAAAGCTTCTCTGCCTAATGTTTGCTCACATGTGTGGGGTACATAGAAGTATCTCAGACAGGTGCTATTTGATCCTTCAGTATTGTTGGGTATGTGTATTTTCATAAAACTACATGAGTAAACACCAGCCAGTAGCTATTGTGGTGCAAGTGTTTCAGTACTTGGAAGAGGAACTAGCTTCAGAACAATAGCCCAGATTAAATAAGATAAATTTCTTGTTTCCAGAGAAGAACAGATTTCAAATATCAAGGAATGTTGCTGAGCTCTCACTTGACTTGCAGGTGTCTGTTGTATCTTAATCGATTGCTATTAAATGGGACTGTAAGAGTAGGACTATGACCGTGAAGACAGAATTATTGCAGAGAGAGTCAGTTTAGGAAGTCTGTGGCTATTAGCTTGATCAAATTATACTTTGAAAATGGGTTAATAAATCTAGAGGAAAAGGAAGGAAGGGGAATGTATTCTGAATTATTCATAATTTGTTTCCCAGTTGACAAGTCTACATAGACATGAAATTCAGGTGGGAGTGCAAGGAGTGGGTTATTTATTAATTACATATGAACTGGACAAACCTTTCTGTCTTGCGTGCTGATCTGCTTTCACAATTTAGCATTGCCTACAGCAGCACAACTTCTTTTTGCCTTCAGCTGAAGAAATCCTAGAGTACCTCTGAAAAATCCAATCCATCAAAATTCAAATTCAGTTTAGGATTATTTTCACACATAACAGCAGCTGTTCCAGATGATACTTTAACTGTTTTCTCTTATGAAATGTCTGAGGAGTAAATTTTCACATACTGCATTCTAGAGAGTAAGTGTGCAAGGAACCAGATTATCATTGTGATTTTTCAGGCTTTGTTTTGGTATCTGTGCCCACAGAGTGAACATCAGGAATTGAAGGCTGCTTTTATTCATGGTGGAACTTGACAGCCTTCTGTAAAAGCCTGAGGATGGTGAAAATCTCAGAAGGCTTTATGGGGTTAAGCTTATGGTAGATTAAATGTATAACGTGCAGTTCCCTTTTGTGAACAAATGTGAAATCTGTGTCAGGAACAGTAACTGAAAAGAATATCTTCCCCAATCCACAAGGATATAGTCTTAAATCTTCTCTTGTAACTTCAGAATTTGTTTATTTGGATGGCTTTTACTTAACATTCTGTGTAGTCTTCTTTTTAAGCCCACTGCATCTATCAAGCAGATTTCACCATTTCTACATTTATTTTTTTATCAAAATGGCAACAATTAAATTGGCAGATCATGTACCAATAAAATACCATTTGGGATTTTTCCCCTTTTCAGATATATCTGCATCTGAATTTTTAGTCATGCATGTCATTGTAAGACTGCACATTTTTTGCAGGACACAGGAATAAACATGACTGTGAATAAACTTTGTCTGTACCAGAATTAAGCTGAAGTATAGACACACCACAAAGATATATCTTCTTTGAAAAAAAATACAGTCATTCCACAGTCTCACCAAATTTGCCACCTAATCTGTAGCAAATAAATTGACTTGTGGCATTTACTGTCAGCAGAGGATAAGTAGCAGGAGGAGTTGTCTGCATCTTTGCTGACCTGCCAACCTACTTTAAAGCTATAGCTGTCTATCCGCCCTAGGATGTTACCTCATAGGTAGTTACACTATTAGTGACTGAAGGGCAAGGACATATTTCTTTTCCTAGTGAAGACAAGGCATACAAGTAAATTTTCATTAATGCTGACAGTTAAATGGATGTGTGACTTCACATAATTTTGTGGTTTCAAACACTTTTTATTTCTTTTTCAAGTAAAATCAAAAAATGTCCTTCAGGGACCTCAAGGTTGATCCTCTGCTGAGTTATGCTGTTTGCAAAATTATATTCTTCTCTGCAGCCCTGTGAGAATATGAAAATATACATTTATGTTTATATATTCTGTCATGGAGAAGGAACATGTTCTACATATCAACTGTTTCTACTCAGTACTTAAGGGTTTGTTAGTGCACAAAATTCATGGATGTGGATGGATATCATGTGGATGAGATTACCCAAGCATAAATCCTGTAGAATATATATGGTTTAGGGAGTTACACCATACTCATGTCCTGACACATCCTAGACTAAATACCCTGGGAGATTTGGGAGCAATGGTGGGTTTCTGATAACTATAGGCTTACTGTGACCTCACAGTCCCATGCTGGTGGCTGTCTTCCCCTGCAGGTAGGGAATGGAGGAGGTGATGAATTAACTAAATAGTCGTATTTGTTTCCAATGTCTAAGATGGGAGTAAAGAGGGGAGCAAACTGTCCTGGTTCAAGTAATACTTACACAGACTGGTAGGGCCTCTGCTTACACAGATGCACCCTGAGGCCAACAATTAATTTGGAAGGAGTGGTACTACTTGAGCCTATTTCTGCATATGAGCTGGTCTCTCAGATCCACATGTGGAAATAGTACAGAGAGTCAATGACTCACCACTGTTAGTAGTATGTGTCTTTATTTTTGTAAAAACTCCCATTTTTCTGTAGCAGATGGACAAGTAGGGAGGAAACAGACTGCTGGAGGGGAAGGGTATGAATGTGACACCTGCACTTTTTCAAGATCCAGAAAATCCATGCAGAAGTTCCAGTAACCACTCCTTATAGCCAAAGAATGCCAAAGTCCACTGAAGTCCACTCAGCAAACACAGGTCAATGCACCCCAACATTCTCTTTTCTCAGAGACATCAGGGCTTGGGCATTACAATGAGAATCAAAAGGGGGAAAGGTATTCTTCTGTTTCACAGTGGGAAAAAACCTTTAAAATTTGCTGGTGTTGTACAAATGGGTCACTCTGAGTGCCTCTGGGACTGTAGATGTATCCACTGGGACAGATACTTTGTGTGAAATGAAGCTTTGGAAAGGAAAACTTGTGATCTTTGTGTTAGATAGGGCTGCCTTCCCTAACGGTATTGTACAGAAATACCCAGTCTGCCCAAAGATATAATGTGATATAATGTAATGATATATAAAGTGATTGTTCTTTTATTTACAGCATATTTACTGAACAAGTTTTAAAGGGTTGTGAGACACTTCTGAATTAACATTCTTTAGTATGAAGGAAAGAAATGCAGTCTTGACACCTACTTTTGGGGGCTTTTCAGCTGAGATCAAAGCAATCAAAATTTGGGTCCCAGCTTGATTTCTGATACTGTCATTTTCCACTAGTAGGTCTGATATTTTATGTTAACATTTGAATCTGTCCTGCAGCCTCTTGGAAATAAGGCTTTTCCACAGACAGTTGTGCTGGAAGGCTGAAGAGGTTTAGTTGCTGATTTAGTATGTTAGAACATTTATGGTCTCAGTAAGTTGTAGCTTTTGAATGGCACATCAAGAAAACTGAGAGGCTGTACAGTGCAAGCCAGATGTTGAGCCTGGGCTGGTCTGCCTCATGATGGCTGAATGAATGACACATAGCAAGCCAACTTGATCAACACAGATTTTTGTTAAATTTAAATGTCACTGGATAACTCGGTAGCTGCCTGTCTTAGTTGGATTAATGTCCAAATCATCACACAGAATTTAGGCTCTTGTGCAGCACTGAGAGTAGCACTCCTTGAGGAGCCAATCTTTAGGTGGGTGTGAAGCCACCATTCTACCTAGTGGTATCTGTATGTTGTCCCTATAGCAGAAAGCTGGAGGGCAACCTGCATCCTGCCTTGTTTTCCAGGTAAACACAGCCAAGCATGGCATGGGGAGATACTGCTGAGTGTGTATTGTTTTCTGTATTCCTTACACAGTCACCATGCTACCTGCTTATATGAGAGTTAATGGAGTATAAAAGGTGCTATTCAATATAAAGAAGCACTTTTAAAATAGTTTTATACTAAATACATCAGTGAGGAAAACAGTAGTCCTGCCTATGGACCAGCTGTATCCAGTATGATTGCTTTCCCCCCACCCCACCCTGTCAGTTGTAAAAGCCATATTCCTAGTCCAAACAGCTCACCCATCTACAGACCTTTAAAGGTAAATAAAGAACCTGTTGTACACAAAGCATTTGAGAAACAGTTTCTTGTTACTATCACAAGTCCATGGAGTCAGTGTCATCTCTAATTTTAGCACTGTTTTTGTATGGGGAGTTTAAACTTTCCAAGCCCTTGGAGAAAGAATTGGCAAATAAGTGTATATAAATGTGAAAAGCACCAGGGGATTTTATCACTACACTAGAATTAGACTGTAATACAGAGGATAAACTGGTAACATTCGTGTCCTTTAGAAATGTAGCTGAAACAATCTTGCTTGAGGATTTTCTGTAAGAGGCAGTGGCTCTCCCTGAATTGATATGCCATATTTGATTCCGTCTTTCCTATGCACAGAATCAAAATCTATCTCTGTATATCATTCATAGGTAAGAGGATTGGATCAGATTGTTGTTTCATAAATTTAAGTAAACATTTTTTTTCCTCGCTGTTCCAAATGATCAGCCAGGATATTTGAATCCATTTCTATCTTTTACTACTCAGTGAGTTAACTTTCCAAATGCATGTTCCCTACAAGTCTATGTTCAAAGCTGTTCACACTATTCATTATTGCAGTGCCAAGACCTGGCATTTCTTCAGCTTTCTTTGGAGGAAAACAAATGAAAATCTTTGGAAGAACTAGTCTGTCTTCTGTGAAAGAAAACCCAAAATGAATATGAGAGAAAATGTTATTAATTTGAGTCTCCTAGGAGAACAGTGTCCATTTGACTCACAAACTTTACACTGCATTTTAATTACTGAATGATACTGGGAAGGCTGAAAGGTATTCAACTCCACTAATGGAGAACAAAGGAAGAGAGGTAGAAATGTCTTTTAACATTTTTTCTCTCTTGCTGCTCATTTCCTGCTTATGCTTTCTTCTTATTTTAAACCTTTGTTAAATTTTATCTTTATTTGCTTTCCTCTTTTAAAAGTCCTGTCTCCTTCTGATATCTGGAATGAAACTATTCACTGTATGGTTTTTAATGTCAGAAACCAATAGTTCCAGCAGGTGATGAAACATACTTCTAAAACTCCATTGTGTAAATCACCATTCAAGATGAAAAAAGGAATTTTAAGGTTTTAGTTCTTGAATGAGAGAAATGCCTAAAAATTGCCAAACCACTGATAATTTCTGTATGTGCCCTGTGGGCTCTTCCCCATTACACCACTTAACTTTGTTGATTCAACTCTTTTTAACAAGCAAGGAATTTAAGTGCAGAGAGAGAGGTCAGCAAATACAGGCTCTAGGACACGTTCTGGTATGTGTTTCTTTGGGTTACTGGCTGTCATTATTGTGGCTTTTACCATTTTCTGCAAAGGCTTTTAGAAGGCTATGAGTCTTTCCTGATATCAATAGATTTCTGTAATGTAAATTTTATTGAGGGTGTTTCACATGTTGCCTGTAGTGTCAACAGTCAGTGGGACCCAGCCAGTCAGTCTGAGTGGCGTAACACCCTCCAGATGCTCTGTGCTGCTGTTGATGATTGTGCAGTAAGTTGTAGGGCTCGATAGGCAGGCAGAGATTCTTTACACCACCATTTTGCCAAACAAAACATGTTTCACAAGCACAGAGCCCTCTTTGCTTTGGGGTCTCTAAGTGGTAGGAATCCTGCTGTGCATTTCCACATCTGTGAACTGCTGGATGTTCTCAGTGCCCTCTGGAGATGTGGTGATTGGGGAAATAACATGCTTCAGGCGCAAGAGCATGGAGAAAAGCAATATGAGAAGGATAGCCAGAAGTGTTAGGAACAATCCCACATACACGTACAGGCTGGAGTATTTATCTGCTGTTGTGTCTACTTCTGTAGCCAAAGTTGGAAAGTGGACGCGGCCAGTCAGGTTTCCATGGAATTTGAAGTAAATCTCAGTCATTGCTCTCTGTCAGCTTTGGTCCATTTTCCCTATTTACCTTCAGATTTCCTGTCTTCCCTCACCAGACTCACAAAGGAGGACAAGAGAGGAAACTTAGGACAGATGGCACGATGGCTTCAGCAAGAAATGCACCATTCTCTTGGTCTCAAACTGCTGGTTCACACAGTTATGCATACTGCATGAGACAGGCCTTTGCAAATAATTTTGCAAGTTGCTATTACAATGACAACGAACATTAAACTTGTGTTTTACACTGCCATCTGGCTTTTATTTGTCTTGAAAATGCTTTGGTTCTTCTTTGGAGCTTCAGGTTTGGTCACCTCCTTTGGTAGGTGAAAAGCTTTGGTCCTTGTAAACTCAAACTGAGCTGCAAAGGTTTTTACGGTTTTGGTCTTTGCAAGTGTTGTTTTCCAAACAAACTGAGTCAGCTTTCTGCCAGCTTTCTCCCACAGCAGGTGGTTTATCCTTTTATGAACTGGGAAAGGTTGTTTTCTGCCTTGCCAGGCTGCTGAGGGATCTCTTCTCTCCTAATACAGGGCTATTGATACTTGCTTAAAGAGTATGGAGTTCTGAGTTTCTTATTAGGAACAGTCAAAAAGTTGGCTTTCTAAAAGGAAAAAAATGAGTGAGTGAGAGAGAGAGAAATGTAACCAGGTACCAAAATAGCCTAGCCTCCCTGTGGTATCTTCAAAACAAATAGATAAGAAAACCCTTGTCACGCTCCCATGAGACACCTTGAGACCGGGAGAAGCACTATTTCACTTTAGAGAAAGACCATGCACATCTGATTGTTAAGGTCTCCTCTGGTAACACTCACTACTTGGTTATGGGTAAGAGAAGGACCCGCGGTATACGGAATTAGATGTCACAGAGGAAGAGAAGAAATTAATCCAGCCAGTGTCTTCCACCATGTGTCTCTTATTATCAGGTCCCTCTGTTTCTGAGGCAGAATGCACCTGGCAGGCATCCAGAGCCCCACCTGTGCCACTGAGGCAACTCTGTTGCAGTCTATGACACTTCACTCACCTCCTGGGAGCAGAACTCACTAGAAATGGGGGAATTGGAACATTTTAGCATTTTCGGTTCTTCCAGCTGGAAAAAGAAAACACAAATGCTGAAATGTCCCTGTAAATGGTGCATCCAAAAGCATCTTGTTCGTCTTTGATAAGACCAGAATTTTGGTTTTAGCTGAAGCAAAAATGACAGCACTGAAACAATGTGATACAGTCATTTATAATGTTCACTACATATACACCTACATGAGATATAAACAGAGTAATATCAATGTGGTAATATACTATGGTAGATTAAAACGAAACATTAGATCAAAGTGATAAAAGCTCTGATGCTTTTAGATAAAGATTTCACCTAAGAGACATATTGCTGCAAAACATTTTTACTTTCATGGGCATTCTGTTTGTAAAATGTAGCTAGTTTACTGACAATGTTTGGTGATGTTCTCCCCATGCACCAGTGGGAACAACACCTTGCTGTTCTTCAGGGAGAGGTGGTTCATGTCTTGAGGCCTGGGTCATCAGGGAGCTGATATTCAGGCTTTCATTACAAGCAAGACAGACCTACTTTGGCTCATGTGATGGGGTAGAATCTGACGTGCTGAGTTTTTGGAGAAGGGATGCTGGTGTTTGTCTACACTTTACTTCCCAGATCCTGCAATACCTTCTTCAGTATCAAAGCATTTGAGATAACAGCAATCCAGTTTAGGGAATACTGGGCAAGATCCTGCTTCGTAATAGGCTGGCTAACCTGGGCCAAATAGCCAATTGAAAAAAAATTGCCTGGGGATTTGCCTTCTGCAGTCCCTGCATGGTAGTGGGTTCTGTGCCATGCTTTGTGCAGGAGTGTGTGGGCAAGCATGGTAGAAAGGGCAGCTCAGTATTTTTCCAGGGGCTGACCCAACCCCTGTGGAGCCAGTCATTCTGGCAGCAGGTTTGGTGCTGATGCAGAAGCATGGAACATGAAAGTGAAGGTTGTGTTGCAGCCAGGCACTTTTGCTCTCAATTATAGGGCAATAACTGTGATTTTCACACTTCAAACTTATAAATGGAAATTCTTCCCCCATGAAGAATATTCTTACGTTACGCAGCAGGCGGGAAATAGAGGGTGTGAATATTACTGGCCATATTAAACCTCTGTTCTTACAATATGATTTCTCTGTTGATAATGAAATGCAATCAGTCTGGAATTTGACACGTGTGTGAGTTAAAGTACAGAGTAATATCTTTGCCAATCTCATCTGCTATCTTACTGAGAGCAAAAGCCAGAGCTCGTTTCTCTCCTTAAGGGGCAGAGAGCCTAATGGCTTTGCATACTTCTTAAAATGAGACTGCAGAATGCTAAGGACATTAGCCTGAAGTTCAATAGTTAACTACAAGCCAAGATGTTGAATTAACAAAGCTCAGCTGGGTATTTATTGATAAAAGGAGCAGATTAACAGTAAAAAGTATTAGCGATGGGGAGCTGGCACAGCTTGCTGCTTTTTTTAGTCTCAACTATAGAATTGTCAGGAGCAATCAACTATTCAGGCTATTGACAGCTGTGAAATTAACTACATCTTTTCCAGAAATGAGCCAGAAATAAATCAGTAGCTCCAGGCAACCCCAAAGATTTTTGCTTTTCAATCTATCCATTATCTCATGGAGCACATCTTTTTGGATATTAGTAGATTTAGTTTTGCACACTCCCCTTTAAGGAATAGAATCTTAAAGACTGTAGAGATCAAGATTATGTGAAAATAAGTGGTACACAAAGATTCTGAAAAAAAAATTTATATAAAGGAGGTTAGCACTCTAACTTTGTATGACTCAGATTACAGGAGGCAAAGCCTCACTAGTTACCCTGAGAAGCCCTCAATTCCCTGAACAGAGATAGTAAGTTTGTTACAGAGCCGAGCAGCATAACTAGAGCCCACATTCTCTGTGATCTAAGTTGTTGATCAAGGCTTAGTCATCCTCTCTGGCTAGTCAATACTCCCATTTCTGAAAGGTGACAAGCGCCGTTAGTGTTCACTGATGCTCAGTGGGTACAGACTGATTCCAAGCAGACATTTATTTTTTTACCACTTTGTGGTTGTTTTTAAGCAAGGATTAAAAAAAAAAACAACCAAAAAACAAAAAAACAACAACAAAAAACCCACAAAAAACAACAAGCCCAAACAAAAAACCCCCTCCAATATTTAATAAAAATCAGCAGTGAAAATAGAAGCCTCATACAAAACAACAGAAAGGTTTCTTCTCAGAGTGTGTCACTGAGACAGGAAATTAATGAGCCAAAACTTCATAAGTGCTGAAATTACCATCCTCCCACTGCAGCTATTAGGGTTTGGGGAGCTTCAGGTTTGGGGAGTTTTTATGAAGCCTGCACGGCCCTGCTCTGCACTTTTGTAGGTCACAGAGGAGCAGAGAGAAAGCAAGCTTTTCTCCAAAACAACAGACAGTGCAAAGTGATCTTGCAGTAAATGTCTTGTCTTGCTTACTTGCTTCCTTTTACTCCCATATTCAGTTTAAGTGCTGCTTGACAGCAAGGCATCTCTGAAACTGCAAGCAACTTCTCTTTTGCTTTTCCACCTGATACTCTTAACTACTATGAAGAGGTAAGTGGGACAAAATAGAACAATTACTTGTGTATCTTCTCCAAGGCTGTTTATTTAAACTGCACTGAATTGGCTGGCAAGCGCAGAAAGCTTTGGCTTTGAACACGGACAGTACCAGGTGTATTCTGTCTAGGTGACCTTTAGAGAAAAAAATCATCACTGAAGAAATGCAACCAAAGCATTAAAGTATCAATTTTGTCCATGTCTTGCCTTTTCTCAAGGGAGGATCTGAGGGAGAGGAAAGGGGGATGTCTTTTCTTTCTGTGGCAGATGGAATTTTTTGTTCTCATGCTGAAGTGCAGTGTGCTGGTGTCTCAGCTGTGGTAGTGTAGAGAAAGAGAACAGAATAAAGCATAGTTACCTTTCAGAGCAGGCAGGGCTGCTGGAACTAGGCACTAGAGCAGCTGGTTCAGATCATGAGCTGGCTGGTGATTTATGTAGGAACATCTCCTCCCAGGTAGTGGGATTTGTGCAGAAAAGATTTGCTGTCTTATTGCTGGAGCCAGGATATTGTCTTTTCAGCAACAGACACTCCAAGTGCACTTTCTTCTCTGCTCTTGAATTCACATGGTTCGCTGTCAGGGATGGCTCTTACTCCCGGTCTTGAGACGTCAAGTGAGAGCCTAACTGAGCATCATCCCTGCTGCTGCCCTTCCTTTGCAGGCAGTAGGAGAAGGGGCAAGCAGCTTTCTCTTCATGAGCTTCAGTGCCTGGCAGGCAGCAGCCGGGCGCCTGCCCCAGCAGCGGCAGGCAGCACCCGGAGCGGAGAGGCTCGGTGGTGCCGCGGAGCTGCTGCCTCGGCAGCAGGCGAGGAGGGAAGGGAGGCAGGCTGTGAGCTCAGCTCGCGGCGAAGTTTGTGCAAGGTTCGTCTTAACCCTTTCGTGCGTGAAAGTGGTAAACAAGACTGAGCTGCCTGCTAATCGTGGAGAATGACATGAGCCAGGAGGACAGGTTATCCGTTTCTCTCTAATTTTCTGGAAGCTGTAAAGGTTTTTTGGTTTGTGCCTCTTGGGAAGGGTTACCTGGTGAGGGCTCCCAGCCGGGTTCCTGTCTGGAGCTGTGGATATGTGTTTCAGATAGTCCCCAAGCATTGCTCTTTGGCATTGGAGCTTTTAATGTATTTTTGTCCCTGTGCTTACTGTTTGGTGGTTTGGGAAAGGCTGTGTGGCTGGTTTAGTTTACAGGTCCTCTCTCCTCTGAGAAGTTTGAAACTCAGCATAAATAAGTATAATGTCAACTTTGCAGTGTTGTGGGCAAAAATTATTTTCACCAGTTTATGAATGTGTGAAGCACAGATCTGCTTACAAGGCGCTACAGAAATGAGTCAAAAGGAGACAAGTTTGGGGTGACAACCCAAACCATCCTGATGCCTCTTATTACCACACCTTTTGACTTGCATTTCTTAGCTCACCCCTGGCTGGAAGAGTAAGGATGTTTTGTGATCCTGTTCCAGTTATGACACAAATTAGGGTAAACTACATCAATGAATTGCTATAAATTTAGTTGTGTGCGTGTTTCAGAATGGTGATGTGGAACAAAATTTCCTTTGGTTTATGCAGGGTGGCTCAGTCTCTCGGGGACAGATGTCAGTTTGGGATGCATTACAGCAAGCCCCAAGGTTTCACCAGCAGTAGAGCACAGCTGGAGGTAACCAGCACATAGACAGAATAGCTGCAGTTTGCAGCTCTAAGCACTGAGCTGTGTACAGCTGCATGCTGCCATATTTCATATGTCCACATCCCTTGTGCCCCAGCAGGTGGGTTGGCTGGAGGCACCTCATGGGGTGAACCTGACCCACTTGCCTTGTGGTCGTTTCCAGTACCTACAGGTTGTCTTTCATGGTCTGTTTTTGGTGCACTGGGAGCAAGGCTTCCCTCTGGAAAGTGGGTCCCACACAGGGGTTTGGGAAAGATGAGTTAATTCTCTCTCTGCAGCTTTCTGTGTGACCAAATAGAGACATTTAATCTGAAAGCTGTCTGATCAGAATAGCTCTCCCTCTCCGGTCCCCCATGGCCACAGCCTGAGCAGAGGGGCCAAAGGGTAATGAAACCCAGAGCTGCATAACACTTTCATCCTCCTGGGTTAGAGGGCTGTATTATAAATCCATCTCTCTGAGGGATCTTCCATCTCTGGAGCTCACAAGCACAGTGTATTATTGCAATGTAGCACTATTTAGATAAATAAAACACAGTAGCTGGAAAAAATACAATTCCTCCATGCTTCTGTGGGGGGATGAAGTCTCTGAAAACCAAGAGTTATAAGGCAGCTTTGATTGCAGATTTTACTTCACATTCCCTTTGTTGCACCCCGTATTGCCATCTATGCCATGATTCCCTGCTAGGCGCATAGGAATGAAAGTACATTGATAAACTAGAAGGAAGACTATGTATATTTTTCCCTGGAATCTGTAGAATTACTGCTTTACCAACAAAATACCTGACAGGACCTCCAAACCCTGGGTACATATTCTCTTATTTAAGAAGAAACAAGTGAGAGCTGTTTAACCAGGAATTATGTTGCTGGTTGAGTTATGAGACCCAGAAGAGACACGCATGTGTTGAAATCCTGCAACTCTGCTTTCTATATAATGCTAATGAGCAGTGCTGAAATGAAAGGCTCCTCTCTCTGTCCATGCAATCCAGCTTCTCTGCTCAGCAATTTTTCCCTTTGTTGATTTAGCAGTAAATTATCTCTCCCTTTTGTAGGACCAAGCTGCTGTTTGCTGGATGGGTACACTTAGATTTCTTGTTTCCTTTGTAGCAGGGTATAATAAAGACAGATGAATTTTAGATAATGCCACAATTTATACCAGCTGAGGCTGATGAATGCTTGACTGAATGATTGCTGAATTCCTGAATTGTTGAGCATATGTAAGTCTTTCTCTCTATGTAAATTTTTGGGCCAATCAATGACAAATTTGTGCTACATCAAATGAAGGTGTACAAATTCCCTTGGAAATACACAGAAATATGAAGCCAGTAAAAGTAATTTTTCAAGCAGCCATTATGAATTTTGGGGAAAAAGACCAGGGAGCTTGTTAGGTTCTTTCCTTTGCATTATTTGACCTATGTCTCAAGCTTTATATCAGATCATTTTACACATCTTTCTCATGATGGTCCCACACCAGTCTTAGAGTGAAATTTGGGGTTAACAAAGAGCAAATAAGATCTCTGAATGACTGTTAGTGAGTATAATCTCTATGTTCCTGTAGGGATTCTTCTGTTGTCCAAATTCATGAATCCTATGAACATCATAAATGCATACTTTGGGTCTTTAAAAATTGCTTTCTGTGCAGCTGCAGTGAATGGAGAAAGAGCTGTGCACTCCTCTCCCCCCCATCCCTTTCATAGCAGACACATCCCAGAATGGTTTATTCAAGCCCTCAGATGTAAAGACCTTCCATCATTTGGGGCTGTTTGTGTGTGGGAGGGGTAGGGCCAAGCCAAGGTCTCTTTTGCTGATGTAGATGCTGTATACTGAACTCAGGAAAAAGCCACAACTTGGTAGGTTTATGTGGATGTGTCAAAGATGACAGAGAAAACAGAAGCAGTGGCTGAGTTTTCAGTATTAAGGGCAGAAAGTGTGTTAAATTAGAGCAGACTTTTAAGCAAGAACTGTGATGTCTGAAGTGTATTCTGTGTTTGGACATATTTTTCAGCCATTGTTTAGAGGCTACAGTTAATACCAACTCACTGTTTCTCCATTACTGTCCTTCCCTTTCCTCCTGTTAAAACAATTTCTCTCTTTCGCCCACGTGGTTAATCCCTGCCTGGACCAGAGTCTGGCTGAGCTGTTGTGCTGAGCCAGCAGCTCAGCTTCCCTGGAGTTTCACTAGCTTTCAGAGGGCTTAGGCAGAGTTCACTCACTTCTCCCCTGAGAGCACTGCTAGAAACCTGCACCAGATGTCTTAGAAATCAGCTCAGCACTGTGAACTTCTAGTAGTATTCATTACTTATGGCAATAATAATCATACTTAGCACTTCTGTATTTTCAAGACACTTCACAGTTACACACTCCCTCAGTGAGGTATAGTCAGCGCTGAAGAGGACTGCCAAGCATCCCATTTTTAACAGCTTTTGTGGCTGTTACAGGCTTCTTAGCCATGCAGTGTAGCTACCCATGGAACACCTCCTTGAAGAGGTGTCCAGCCCTTCTCTAGCCTTGAAGGCCACAAGGTCCAACTCCTGAGATGCCCAGCTAATACTAGACGGGTTACATGGAAAAAACCCTGTTCTTTACCTTTCCTGCCTTCCCCACCCCTGCCCTGGTCATCCACAGAGGTGCTAGGAGACCCCTTGTTGCCATGAGGTGGTTGCTTGGGCAGTTGTTCTTCCAAAGATCAGGATGGTTCCTAGTTTCCACCTAGAACTGTACAAGTGCTGAAAAAAAGAGGGTAAGTCACTATGGAAGGGATGCTGAAGCAAGTGACTTCACTTAACACTGTTTGTCTTGACAGAGTGGAATCTGTTGTAAATATGTTTTTGTTTTAGTATGTTTTGTCTTTACAGCCATGGCACTGAGTGGCAGGTGATCTATACCACAAACAGGCTTGTGAAACATAAAAAAAAAAAAATCATGTTTCAGTAGATTTTTAATCAGGAATCTCTAATGAATGTTTGGACTTTCAAATATTTATTGGTTATTCAGATTTGTGTGAAATGGATCGAGTTGCCACCAGCTTTAAGGGAGAAATACCACAGTCCATGGGATGGCAACCTTGAAAGCAAAGAAAGTTGCCTGGATCTTGTAGCTTGTTTCATGCTTAGGCCAGTAAGGGCCCTAAGAAAATGTACTGACTCCTCTCCATCTCATTTCTTTTTCATGAAAAGGGAAAAATTATTAGAACTTCACCCCACATAAGCAATCTGTTGATGCTAAGTGCTACACAAATGCATGTGGTCATGTGCCCACTGCTCCAGCAGGGCTGAGTGCCTTTCCCCCTGTGCCTGCCCACACAGTCTTGTTTTGTCCAGTAGTATGTCTGAAAATGCTCATGTGTTTGGACTAAAAGAGTTTTATTGCTTAGAAAGGCTTTGGGCTGTTTTGACAATTTGGCTTTGTTTTGAACTTCCCTCATCAAAACGTATTCTTCTACAGATAACTGAAGAAATTCAGCCTAGTCTGAACTTACTGCTAATTTTTAGGAACATTTCTAATTTTATTTACTGTTGTCAGTAAAGGGCTACATTGTCCTGCACAGAATTCTCTCTGAAACAGTCCTAACTTTCATTTTTGTGAGGGAGCTTGTGAAGAAGGCATTGCAGGTCCACAAAATGGTGTTAACACCACTCATAGAAGAGACTTCCAGTGCTCTAGGTAAGTCAATGAGAGCTAGCTCAGATAGGGGCAACTGGCAGTGAACAGGGTCGTATGGGCAACCCTTGGAGCAAAGGGTATCTGAAAAGCAGGTTCCATCTGGATCCAAACTGCAAGTACATGTCAGCCACCCTCCATCAAGGTCCCCCACAGGTCCTCATGGGCCCTAGCAAAAATCAGCTGAATAATGAGTCATGGATGGAACTTAAAAGCAGATCCTGCATTCTCCAGCCCATGATCTGGAATATTATTATTTCCTCTGAAGTAGGACAGTTCTTGTAATATTGCCTATTTTTAGGGAGTTTGGCACAATTTCTAGACCCAACAGCTTCAGGTAAGTCTGGAGAAACTTTCAGATGTGCTGACTGTCATTTTTTGGCTGGCCAGTTGCTAAGATACAACCTGAAAGGTGCTCGCATGACAGTGAGCCACTCTGTTTTCGTAACTTAAAATGGGTGCTTGTTTTTAACGCATTCAAGCTT